ACAATAAAACCTCATCAATAACAACAAAGTATCCAGCCTAAACACTTGATTCCTGAATCCTAGAATTCCTCACTTGTACTTATCTTAGGCGACCGGAGGTTGAGGTGGGCCGATTCACTGTGGGGTTTTTGTAATCATAAACAACCAGTTCTCGAAAATCAGTCCTGTCCAGAGCGGCGCTTTCGGAACAAAGGTAGGCTGTAGAATCCCCTGTGGGAAACTAGCGCTGGCTATTTACGTGGGTGTGGGGATTGTGGGTACTTTATATGAGAATCAGGGGATGCGCGCTGCACATTTTAAATACAATCTGACATACTATAGATCGTAATTTTGTATCTATATCGTGGACATATAAATGAAAATAAAATAGAATTGCATAAAGTAGGGGGGTTTTCGGCATTTCTTCTGCTTGTGCATACGGCACCTGGCATCCTTTAACATCTCAGTGGCGCCAAACGTTCAGATGCCACTCGGATGGTCATTTGACGTGGAGGCTGCAATCCAGGTCACTAAACTACAACCAGATCTACAGTGTCAACAGAGAAAACTTCAGGAAAGCCAGAACCTACAACCTCGGAAGAAAGGATGACTGAATCAGGTACAACTGAAGTTACAATTTCCACAGTGCCCGCAGAATTAATAGCAACCCGTGAATCCACAATCTCTACAGAGAAGACGACCGAAGCAGCACTGACTGAGCTTACAATACTGACAGAGGAGCCGATCGAATTAACATTAACAACTGAGCCTACGACCTCGTCTACAACTACAAAAGAAGGTACAACTTTGTTAGAGATAACTAAATTCACGGCCACATCTGAATATATAAACTCGACAGAAAGTATAACGGAATCAACAGTAAAAACTGATCAGTGGGCAGTTGAATCAACATCTACTCTATCCTCAGTATCCACAGATATGACTGAATCAACAGCTAGAACTATCTCTACAACCTCGACAAAAAGGATAACTGAATCATTTACTATAACTGAAACTATCTTGGCAGAGAGTATGACTGAAAAAAAATACAGTTAAACCTACAACCTCACCAGAAACTACAAGAGAAACAGTTACAAATGAACCAATGAATTCGACGGAGAGGGCAATAGCTACACTTGAATCTACAATTTCGACAGGGAGAATAACTGAAACAGCTATTACTGAGCCTAGAACCTCGACAGAAAGGATGACTGAGGCTAAAATTTCCACACCGCTCATAGAAAAATCAGCAGCAACACCCGAGTCTACGATCTCGTCAGAGAGGACAATCGACACATTTACAACTGAGCCTATGACCTTGTCTACAACTACAACCGATCGTGCAACCTCGTCAGAGATAAGCAAATCCACTGCCACAGCTGTGCCTACAGGTTTGACAGAAAGGATAACTGAATCAACAGAAACAACCAACCAAGAATCCTCGGCAAGGAAAATAACGGAATCAACTGCAACAGGAGTGTCAACTAAAACATCATTATCTGCAACATCGATGGAAGAAATAACCACAGAGCCAAAAGGTAAGTAGAGTTATCTAAGTAATAAGTGTGTGTCTGTATAATATGTATATTAATATATATGAAATAGAAAGTACTTGTTGCATGAAATGTGATCTCAATTTCTGTATTATAAACAATTATAAACAATTTTATTTTAAGGGCTCTAGTCAGCCTAGACTATTGTTAAATATGTCATATACAGGTACCGTAAGCAAAAAACAAAGCCACACACTGCATATTACAGTGTATTTAATAATGTTCTAGGTTGACTAGAACCCTTAAAATCAAATTGTTTATAATTGTTTATAATACAGAATTTGGGATCACATTTCATGCAACAAGTACTTTCTATTTTATATATATCAATATATATATTATACAGACAGACACGTACACACACTTATTACTTAGATAACTCTACTTACCTTTTGGCTCTGTGGTTATTTCTTCCATCGATGTTGTGACAATGGAAACCACAACTTCAACAGAGAGGATGTCTGAACTTACAGTTACAATCTTAACAGGAAGTAATACTGAATCATCAGTTATATCTAAACCTACAAGCTCGACAAAGAAGGAAATGAAATATGATACTACAACCGGTGGGGAAAATTGAGACCGAGACCGAGAAAACTAATTTAACAATTACAGTTGAATCTACAACCCCAACATAAAGCTTTCTTCAAGCAACTGGTGCAACCAAAGTTATACCTTCGACAATGAAGGCAACAGAATCAATAGAATTAAGTTCAAGAGATGAGGCAATCAAATTGATAACTACAACCTCAGCTGAGAGGAGAACTGATTTTGCAAACTCAGATAAAAGTACACAGCCAGCAGAATTGATGAGTACACCTGAAACTACAACCTCAACAGAGAGGATCAGCAAATCTACAAGCAGCACTGAACATAGAACTCAATCAGAGGGAACATCTAGAACATCTGCCCATACCCCCTCATCAGAGATGACTAGAGAAACTGTAGTTACAACTGAACCTACATAATTTCAGCAGGAAAAAAATGTAGAATCAACAGCTACAACTGAATTCACAAGCAGTAATGAACACATGACTCCAGCAGAGAAAACAAAATCAACAGCTGACAGACTCGACAGAAAGAAAAAAAATAATATACATTTACAACTGAAACCAAAACGTCGGCAGAAAAAATAACTTCAACGACAGGTTCATTTGAACTATCAAGCTCGATAGAGAAAACAGGCGTACCTACATCTACAGCTGGACCTATAACTTTGACAAAGTGGGTTACAGAATCAACATCTACAACAGAATCACTATCTAGAACAGAATTAACATCCACAACACAATCAACATCTACCACAGAATCAACGTCTACAACAAAATCGCCATCTAGAAAACAACCAACATCTACAACAGAATCAACATTTAGAGCAGATTCAACATCTACAACAGAATTAACACCAACAGAATCAACAGCTACATCAGCATCAACATCTAGAAAATAATCAATATCTACAACAGAATCAACAGAGTCAACATCTATAACAGGGTCAACATTTACAACAAAATCAGCATTTACAACATTTTCATCAAAAGAATCAACACCTACAACAGAATCAAAATCTATACCAGAATTATCATCTGCAACAGAATCAACATATACAACAGTATCAAGATCTAGAACAAACTCAACATCTTTAACAGAATCAACCTATATACCAGAATTATCATCTACAACAGGATCAACATATACAACAGAATTGACATTAACAGAATCGCCATCTAGAACCGAATCAACATATACAACAGAATCACTATCTGGAACAAAATTGACAACTAGAACAGAGTCAACATCTGGAACAGAGTCAACACCTACAACAGAATCAACATCTACAACAGAACTGACATCAACAGAATCAACACATATTAGAGAATCACAATCTACAATAGAATTATCATCTGTACCAGAATCAACATTAACAAAAGAAATGACATCAACAGAATCAACACCTACAACAAAATCAACATCTATAACAGAATCAACATCTGCAACAGAGTCAATATCTGAAACAGAATCACCATCTATGAAACATTCAGCATCTACAACACCATTTAGAACAGAATCAACATCTATAACTGAATCACCATCTATAGTATCAGTACCTATAACAGAGTCAACATTTACAACAGAATCAATATCTACAAAAGAATCACCATCTAAAACAGAATCAACATTTACAACAGAATCAACCACTACAAAAGAATCATCAACTGCGATACAATAAACATCTAAAAGAGAATCAACACCTACAACTGAGTTAACATCTATAAAAGAATTACAATTAATAACAGAATTAACATCTATAAGAGAATCAACATCTACAACAGAATTAACAATAAAATCAGTAGACACAACATCCATAGTGGAAATTACCATACAAGCAAAAGGTAAGTAATATTCTTTACATCATCCAGCGGCATTAGCTATTACATACAGTAACTTAAATATTATAGTGAATCTGGTTTATAAAAAACTATATCAATCTACTGTTTCTTTCACTTTAAACATACATTTGTGCATACTTACACCCATACAGACACCCACTACTGAATCTACATTTAATGCCGAACCTAAGGCCTTTTTTAAGCATCTAGAAATCTCTGACACTTTTATACATTGTTTCAAGTTGCATTATGGTCGCTACAAAACACAATATCATCTAAGTTTGTATTGACATACCATATTTTGAGAAAAGGAAGTTATTTATTTACTTATTTTTTCATGTAAAAAAGTCATTAGAAGAACATGATATACTGGTATGTTTTCTAAAACATTGTGGAGCTTTCAAATAAAATGGAAAAACTACCTGCTACTCTGCAACTTTTATTGTTTATACATACCATTCGAAAGGCTGTGGAAAATTTAAGTGTATTTCTCAGATTAAGTCAAAATATATATACTTTTTAAATTATCATTATTACATACATATTTCTTTTATATAAAACGTGGAAGTTGCATAGGGTTTTACATCTTACTGTATCCATTAGCTACCTAACAACTAGGTAATGCCAATGGTCACGGACATTCACTTGATTTAATTATTTAATTATATCAACAAATCAAGATACAATGCATTGCCTTTGTCATTTTTGAGTCAGTAAAATTATATCATAAACGTACTTAATGATTTTGAAGAAATCAACCGCACTGAAATCGATGCTACGTTGGACACGTTGGATTTCTTGGTCTTAAACTGTTACTCATTTAGAGTGAGCTTCTATCTGATGTACTGCTAAAAATGCATAAAAAAATATTCTATGCACCTTTATAATAACAAGTTATATCAAGAAGCTTACGATGCGATTCGTAATTAATGAAAATATAAATCCCTATCTGAAAAATATCTCGCTCTGATTGGTTGGCCGCAGCGTATCAAACCGGATCAAGGAGGAAGCACGCACTTCGATAGAAACGGAAACGATGTTTCAACAGGTTCCAATAATATATATATGGGCAACTATGTATCAGAGTGTATCAAAGTGTTATGAATTTCGAAAATATTACAAAAAGTCCTCTACCGCGTCAGTAAACAACTGAATCGAGAGGTTTAAGCTCAACAGAAGAATATGTGAATTTGCAACAAGTATTAAACCTACAACTTTGGCGGAGAAGATAAAATCAACAAAATCAGTGCCTGCAATATCAACAAATAACTACGCAAGCTGAAATATAGAACGTTAATAATTACAATAACATGATAAATGGATCTCTGTTTATTATGTCTATATCAATCTCTATCTATCTATACATATATACATATGTGTGTGTGTGTACATACGTATATATACACATACATATAAACACATGTATATATACATATGTGCATTTTATTCTACCATTAGGAAAAGTCATGGCATAATACAGTAGTTTGTAATGTAATGATGGTCATAGTATATTTATATATATCTATATATATATATATCTATATATATATATATAATATATATTATATATACATATAATATATACTTATATATACATATAATATATACTTATATATACATATAATATATACTTATATATACATATAATATATACTTATATATACATATAATATATACTTATATATACATATAATATATACTTATATATACATATAATATATACTTATATATACATATAATATATACTTATATATACATATATATACACACACATATATATATATATATATATATATATATATATATATATATATATATATATATATATATATATATATATATATATTATAAGGGCAAATATGTATCAGAGTGTATCAAAGTGTTATGAATTTCGAAAATATTACAAAAAGTCCTCTACCGCCGTCAGTAAACAACTGAATCGAGAGGTTTAAGCTCAACAGAAGAATATGTGAATTTGCAACAAGTATTAAACCTACAACTTTGGCGGAGAAGATAAAATCAACAAAATCAGTGCCTGCAATATCAACAGGAGAAATAACTACGCAAGCTGAAATATAGAACGTTAATAATTACAATAACATGATAAATGGATCTCTGTTTATTATGTCTATATCAATCTCTGTCTATCTATCTATACATATATACATATGTGTGTGTGTGTGTATTATATATATATGTGTGTGTGTGTGTGTGTGTGTGTATTTATATATATATATAAACAAGTACATACATTGGGCATTGTGACGTAATTAGGTGTCTTTCCTGTTAATCTAGTTTCCTATCCTATTTGTGATTTTTTTTTTTTTTTTTCTGAATACTTTTTCCATTTTTACAAGTACCTACAAAGATACAACTCTTGTTCCAGCTATAATTGTGGCAGCATTAATCAGTTCCTGACCATGTTAGTTTTCTTGTATTCGCACATTAGTGACTTTTCAGAATGAATATCTTTGTTAAACAATTTACTTATCTATTTAAAGAAACGGCGACAGCGTCAACCGCAGCTCCATTCACTTCCACACCAACAGGTGAGTCAGAGATTTTCTTATCAGTTTTATGCATACTTACAGATTTGACATTGAACGTTTACCTGTTAATCTCATAGTATTGCAATGGTTATGGCTGAAAAAATACTACAGAATAAAAAACTAAAATCATTTTGATATATGAGAGGTTGATAGTGTTCCAAGATGCAGGTTTATTACATTTTCAGTTCGGCCTAAATTGCAATGTAATTATCATGCATCTTGGCAACTATTGTTGACCGTTTTTCAAGATATGTTGAATAGATATTTCATTTTTAAGTGCTACCGAGTAAGTATGAATACCTATGTGTGTATGTATGAAAATGTTGGTATATATACATATATATACACACAATCACATACACACATGTATGTGTGTGTGTTTGTTTTATATATGAGAATATATATTTATATATATATATATATATATATATATATATATATATATATATATATATATATATATATATGTATACAAACACAAACATATATGTATATATATACGCATATAGATATATATACACACACATATATATAATATATATTTATATATACATATAATATATACTTATATATACATATACTATATTTATATGCACATATAAATATACAGATATATGGAGAGGAATATATACGTACATACATACCAACACGTACCAACAGACACACATGCGCACACACACAAATATACATTTCATAAGTAATATTTATATACACATATATGTATACAGATAGATATACACATATACTGTATACACATACATACGCATTTATGTGTGTGTGCGTCATTAGAATCGACTACACCTGAAACTACAACCTCGACAGACAGGGTAATTAAATTTACAAGCAGTACTGAACACAGAATTCCGATGAAAGGGACAACAGCTATAATTTCAGCTGTAAGCTCGGCAGGAAAATCTGTAGAATCAACAGCTACAATTGAATTTACAAGCAGTGATGAACGCATGACCCCAACAAAGGAGAAAACAAAATCAACAGCTGGCACTGAACATACAGACTCGACAGAGAGGA